GTCTGCCTTCAGCTCAGGTCATGATCCCAGGGTCCTGGGATCCAGCCCTGCATCGGGCTCCCTGCTCCGCAGGAAGCCTGCTTCTCCCTTTCCCATTCCCCCTGCTTGTGTTCCCTCTCTCACTGTGTCTCTCTCTGTCTAAATAAATAAAAAATCTTAAAAAAAAAAAACAAAGAACCAACTCTTGGTTTCGTTGATCTGTTCTACTGTTCTTTGGTTGTTTGTTTGCTTCAATATGGATTATTTCTGCTCTAAGTTTTATTATTTCCCTTCTTCTGCTAGCTTTAGGCTTTATTTGTTGTTCCTTTTGTAGCTCCTTTAGGTGTAATGTTAGGTTGTGTATTTGAGACTTTTCTTGCTTCTTGAGATAGGCCTGTATTGCAATATACTTCCCTCTTAGGACCACCTTTGCTGTATCCCAAAGGTTTTGGACTGTCATGTTCATGTTTTCATGTTGATTTGCTTCCATGTATTTTTTTAATGTGTTCTTTAATTTCCTAGTTAACCCATTCATGTAAGAGTTTCTTTAATCTACATGTATTTGTGGTCTGTCCAAATTTTTTCTTGTGGTTGACTTCAAGTTTCATAGCATTGTGGTCAGAAACTATGCATGGTGTGTCTTAGTCTCTTTGTACTTGTTGAGGACTGATTTGTGACCCAGTATGTGGTCTATCCTGGAGAATGTTCCATGTACACTCAAAAAGAATGTGTATTCTGCTGCTTTAGGATGGAATGTTCTGAAAATATCTGTTAAGTCCATCTGGTCCAGTGTGTCATTCAAAGCCCTTGTTTCCGTGTTGATCTTCTGCCTAGATGATCTGTCCATTGCTGTGAGTGGGGTGTTAAAGTACTATTATTGTATTATTGTTAGTGAGTTTCTTTATGTTATTCACTGGTTTTTATTTGGGTACTTGCAAGTTGGGAGCATAAATATTTAAAATTGTTAGATTTTCTTGTTGGATAGACCCCTTTATTGATATAAGTGCCCTCCTTCAGCTCTTGTTACAGTCTTTGGTTTAAACTTTAGTTTGTACTCTGGCTTTCTTTTGATGTCCGTTAGCATGATAGATGGTTCTCCATTCCCTCACTTTCAATCTGCAGGTGTCTTTAGGTCTAAAATGAGTTCCTTCTCTCTCTCGCTCTTTCTCTCAAACGAGTAAATAAAATAATTTTTTTTTAAAAAGTGTGCCTGGGTGGCTTAGTTGGTTAAGCATCTGCCTTCAGCTCAGGTCATTATCCCAGGGTCCTGGGATGAGTCCCACATTGGGTTCCCTGCTCAGCGGGGAGTCTGCTTCTCCTCTCCCTCTGCCCCTCCTCCCTGCTTGTGGTCTCTCTCGCACTTGCTCTTTCTCAAATAAAATAAAATCTTTAAAAAATATATAAATAAATAAATTAAATGAGTCTCTTATAGGCAGTATATAGATGGGTCTTATTTTTTTTATCCATTCTAATACCCCGTGTCTTTTGATTGGAGCATTTAGTCCATTTACATTCAGAGTGATTATTGATGCATATGAATTTAGTGCCCATTGTGTTACCTGTAAAGTTGGTGTTTCTGGTGATGTTCTGTCTTCCTTTCTAGTCTTTGTTGCTTTTGGTCTTTTTTTTTCCCACTCAAAGAATCACCTTTAATATTTCTTGCAGGGCTGGCTTAGTGGTCACAAACTCCTTTAGTTTTTGCTTGTCTTGGAAACTCTTTATCTCTCCTTCTATTCTGAATGACAGCCTTGCTGGATAAAGTATTCTTGGCTGCATATTTTTCCCATTTAGCACATTGAATATATCATGCCAGTCCTTTCCGGCCTGCCAGGTTTCTCTGGATAGATCTACTGGGAACCTAAAATGTCTTCCCTTGTAGGTTGAGGACATTTTTCCCTTGCTGCTTTCAGGATTCTTTCCTTGTCTGTGTATTTTGTGAATTTGACTGTGATATGTCTTGGTGATGGCCAGCTTTTGTTGAATTCAGTAGGAGTTTTCTGTGCTGCTTGGATTTTGCTGTTTCCTTCCCCACATTAGGGAAGTTTTCAGCTATAATTTGCTCAAATAAACCTGCCCCTTTTTCTCTTTCTTCTTCTCTGGGACTCCTATGATACGAATGTTATGCTATGAAGAGTCACTGGTTTCCCTAAGTCTACATTCATTATCCAATACTTTCCCTCTTCTTTTCAGCTTCATTATTTTCCATAATTTTATCTTCTACATCTATATCCTGTGCTCATCCATCCTTGTTATTACATCTAGTCAGTTTTCCATCTTGATTATGGCATTTTTTTACTTTGGCCTGACTAGTTTTTTAGTTCTTTTTTCTCTGCAGTAAGGGATTCTGTAGTACCTTCTATGATTTTCTCAATCCCTGCTAGTGTCCTTATAATTGTTGTTTTAAATTCTCATTCAGGCATCTTACTTCTGTTTGAGTAAATCCCGGCTGTTACTTCTTCTTGTTCTTTCTGTTGGGGTGAATTCTTCTGTTTTGTCATTTTATCTAGGTCACTGTTTTTTTGTGATTGTTAGGAAAGCCTGTTATATTCCTGCTCCTGAGAGTAATGGCTATATTGAGAAGAGGTGCCCCCCCCCCCCGCAAAAGAGGTCCTATACTGTCTTGGGCCTAGAGATTCAGGAGGTGTTTCAGAGTGTGCACTCTGCTGTTGTGTTTTGTGTGCTCCTTCCCTCAGGTCAGTCCTCTGCAGTTTCTCCTTGCCTGCAGTGAGGGGTGTTTGGACGTTGTCCAGTGTGTGGCAAGTTTTATCTAGCTGTGTTTTGGCCTGCTTGTTATAAGAAGCTAGATCCAGGGGCACCTGGGTGGCTCAGTCGGTTAAGCGTCTGCCTTTGGCTCAGGTCATGATCCCAGGTCCTGGGATCGGGCCCCATGTCAGGCTCCCTGCTCAGCAGGGAGCCTGTTTCTTGCTGTCCCTCACTCTCTCCCCCTGCTTGTGCTCTCTCTGTCAAATAAATAAAATCTTAAAAAAAAAAAAAAAAAGGTAGATCCTATTTCTCCTAGAGCTGAAGTTTTGCAGCACTATGTGATCTGTAGACTTGGTGCCTGTAAGGGATCTGTGCTGGTCTGGGATGGGGCCTGCTGTGCTACAGGCCCATTTGCCCTAGTGAAGATGTACCTCCAGGGTTTGGTGGGGCAGGACCTTGGTGAGCTTGGTGAGCTTGGTGTAAGTGGCTTCAGCCTCCACTGGGTGGCACTGTGTTGCTCTCTGAAGTCCATCAGTGCTGATGGGCAAGGGAGAAAATGGCCTTGCCCTGCTCGCTCTCCTGGAGCAGGGAGTTCACGCCAGCACTCTTCAGAAGTCCTCACAGATGAGCAAACCATCACCCTCTGGTGTCCCCAGCTTCCGTCAGATCCTTGCCGTCACCCTGTTTGTATCTGAGCTGTCTGCATACTAGGCAGCACAATACTCCTGTGTTTTATCTCAGGCACATGGCTGTGTTTCAGAACTCCAAATTTTAGGGATCCACATGGCACAGACCCACACTGATCCTCTTGGGGAAGGAAGGTCTCGCCACGCTGGCTGCTTCTGGTTTGTCCCAGAAAAGCAGTTGCACAACCGCACGACTGTTTCTGGTAAAGCACAGCTAAAAGCCAGCACCGAGGTTTGTTGCCCTCAGCCAGTGTCTCTGTTCCTATGTAGGGAACAGGGATGCACATCGGCGCCACTACTTCTTCTGTCCCCAGAAAGGCCATGCCACCGCTCCCAGATGCACTCCAAAAAGGGGACCAGGGGATCCTTAGACCACACCGCCCACTTCCAAGTCTCCACCCTCCTTTCCCACCAGAGCAGCACTAAGCCCGCCAGGCACAACCCCATCGATGGCATGAGCTTCTAAAACTTAAGACTTCGGGCTTTGCTGCTTATAAAAACTAGCAGTAGTCAGCCCCTCTCCTTTTCCCAGTCACTGGTTTTGGGGAATAGGTTTTTGTTTTGTTTTTGTGCAATCCCCTGCCTGCTGCTTTTCTCTCTCTCTCTCTCTCCCTCTCTCCCCCTTCTCTCCCCCTCCCACTCCTCTCCCCATGATCAGGGCTCCCTCCCTTCCGCAGCACCCCCAGCTTTTCTGCCCCCCCAAATCAACTCTCCACAGCTCCTACCTTCCATGAGATGGCTGTTTTTCTACCTGTAGATGTGCAGTTTGTGCTCTCAGTCCTCAGATCAATTTCTTGGGTGTTCTTGGGTGTTCAGAATGATTTGATATTTATGAAGCTGTGATCAAGGAATTAGGCAAGCTTAGGGTCCCCCTACTCCTCCGCCATCTTAACTCAACTCCTAAATATATACATTTATAAATATATCTATACACATACACACTCTGCATATCTTCTTTATCCATTCATCTATTTTTTTTTAAGATTTTATTTATTTACTAGAGAGAGAGCAAGAGAGAGTGAGAGAAAGCGAGGCAGACTCCCCGCTGAGCAGGGAGCCTGATGCCCCCGGGATCATGCCTGAGTCCAAGGCAGCTGCTTCACCGACTGAGCCCCCCCAGGCGGCCCTATCCATTCATCTGTTGATGGACACTAGGGTTGTATCAAGTCATTTTTAAAACATCAGTTCTGTGCGAATTTGGGTGGAAAGCTGAGTGCTCCTTGACTAAAACAGAGAATGGAGCAGCACTGCGTGTGGTGGGACTCTGTTGGGCTGGCTGTCCGAAATAGTTGGGAGGGAGAGGCAGAGCTGTGGGTGTGAAAGTATGTGTGACCATTTGCAGATGCTACTGCTTCCAGTCTTCTCATCTGAAATATCCCCTTCAGATCTCAGAATCGAAATAGCCATCTACTGCTTTTATTAGCATGATTCAGGTATAGTTTCTAGAGTATGCTAAGTCTGAATTGTGTTTAATCCTTTGTGATCTTTTCCTGATTATCCTTTCCCCCTTTCAGATGTTCCTGAGGTCTATCTTTTTTTTCCAGTTTTGTTGATATATCATTGAGATCTCAGTTCTATCTTAATTTGGCTTCTGGAGGCTACAGTTTACCTCTGATCCTTGTTATTTTTCAGGGCTTGTGGTAGAATGCCAACAAGAACGATCACAGATTAAAAATAAAGAAATAGCTTTGCGTGTGTTGAGAGCTAGACTCTACCAGCAGATTATTGAGAAAGACAGGTGTCAGCAACAAAGTACTAGAAAACTGCAGGTAAGATTTATATAGTATAATAATACTTCTGTGGGGCCCTGGCTGGTTCAGTCAGAAGAGCATGTGACTCTTGATCTCAGGGTCATGAGTTTGAGTCCCATGTTGGGTGTAGAGATTGCTTAAAATAAAAAATAATAATAATACCTTTGCACAAAAGTCATCATTTTATGTAGAAAATGTAGCATTTGTTCTTGATCAAATGGGAATATCTTATAGCATAGGGAAAAAGGCTTATTTGTAAATAAGCAATAATTTCATGCACATGGACTAACTGATTATGGCTAAATTTGGATGTGCCAGTTTGCAAATGAATAGATGAGATATGCGTAAACTCAGAATTATTTCCCAGTTGTTTCCCTCCAGTGTTTGTATCATGACTGTTTTGAGAGGAGATTAGGTTAAAATAAAATAATTCTCTGGAAATTAAGGGATTTGCAGATTTTTTATTTAAAAAACCTATGCTTTTTTATTAAAACTCTGGGGTCAAAAGTAAATGGCACTGCCAAAAACTGGTAATGATGATTGTTACTGATGGGATGTGGGGGCAGGGGGTAGAAGAGAGATTTATTTCCACTATATATACCTTTTGTACTTCCTGAATTTTGTACTATATAAATGTCTAGTATTATTTATTCAAATACATAGATAAATGCTAAGCAAAATGAATAAATGTCATTGTTTTAAGTAAACAAATTATAGGATTTTAAGTCCTAAGAAATGTAAAATTGGTCTTTGAGAGAGGTTGGAAGAGAAAGTAGAATTACTATGCTTTTGTGTTATTTGCAGATGGGTATGCTACACTAAATTTGGAAAACTTTGTGGCCTTTTAGGATAATGAATTATATAAACTTAACCATTAATTATTCTTTTTGCCTAGATGTCCTGATATTCTGACACTTTTGCCCTTCTAGCTCTCCTTACCCACATTCTAACTTCCAAGTAATAAAAGTGACAGGATTAATGGAATATTAATACTCTGTGGTAATCCTACATTGTTGTCCAGCATCAGTATATACATTTGCAGATAGGAATGCTCATTAACAAACCATTGCTTCTTGGCACATAAGTGATGACATAAACACTAAGAACTCAGTGACATTTGAATTAATAAGACTTTGGGATTTGGGGCGCCTGGGTGGCTCAGTCGGTTAAGCGTCTGCCTTCAGCTCAGGTCATGATCTCAGGCTCCTGGCATTGAGCCCCATGTTGGGCTCCTTGCTCGGCAGGGAGTCGGCTTCTCCCTCTCCCTCTGTGCTCTCTCTCTCAAATACATAAATAAATAAAAATCTTAAAAAAAAAAAAAAAAAGACATTGGAATTTACTTGCTGTTTGGCATTTTAGTACCAGATGTTTCACATAGTAATTTTTAAAGTAAGTAATTCAAGATTGGCCTGGTGCAAATTGTGTGTGTGTGTGTGTGTGTGTGTGTGTGTGTGTGTGTGTGTGTGTCCTCTTCAGAAATTTCTGGTTTCAAGCGCCAGAAAAGACCTCCATGCCTCCCAATTAACTTGTCCATCTGTGTGAAACTTTTTAGTAGGTATTTCTAATGCTTAGACAAGTTTTTGCTTCAACTAATACATATAGTAGCTTTTATAAGGAAGGCATTATGCCAGGTTCTCAACCCTGGGTCCATTTATCTCCTAAAGAGCTTTGTATATGCCTCAGGCCCCAGCCCCCAGGAGTCTGACATAATTGATTTGGGTGGGAGCCTGGGCATTAATATGGTGCTTTGGGATAGTAGTTTCCATACCTGGCTGGTTGCAGAATGGATGGCTTGAGGAATGTTCTAAAAATCCATGATCCCTGATTTGGTATATCCGAGATTAGACTTTAAAATCTTTAATTTTAAAACATTCTCCTGATGGTCAGCCATATTTAATTTAGTTTCATATCATTTGCCTGAGAGGTTAAGAAAATAAGTTACAGAAATGTCTTTTTAGTCTTAAAAAGTGAAAGTGAGGGACGTCTGGGTGTCTCAGTCGTTTATGCATATGCCTTCGTCTCAGGTCATGATCCCAGGGTTCTGGGATCGAGTCCTGCATCAGGCTCCCTGCTCAGCAAGAGCCTGCTTCTCCCTCTCCCGCTGCCCCTCCTCCCTCTCACGCTGTCTCACTCTCTCTAGTAAATAAATAAAATCTTTTAAAAAAACTGAAACTGTTATAATAGAAAAGTCATTTATAAGTATGTTTTCCATTGTAGCAAAGGTAATTATAAAGTTAAAATATGAATTACCTTTTTGTTATGGCACAGGTGGGAACAAGAGCCCAGTCAGAGAGAATTCGGACATATAATTTCACCCAGGATAGAGTCACTGACCACAGGATAGCATATGAAGTTCGTGATATTAAGGTAATGTAACTTAATATGCTTTATGTACCTTTGCTTTTCAAAGAAAGTATACTCAAATTTTAGAGAGTTATATCTAAAATATTACCAAGTAATTTAAAATCATTAAGCCTGTTTAAGGTAGTATCCCCAAATAGGCAAACATTCATATTAGTTTGTTGGTAAGAAATGGGGTCTTAGTGCCAGTTTGAAACAGTTCTCTTTGAAGTCCAAATTCTTTGCTGTGCAATCACAGTTTATTAAGGTATATTCAATATACATATATACACTGTATCAGATTCCTGTTGCTGTGTAACAAATTACCACAAACCTCTTGGCTTAAAATAATATTTGTTATCTTATGGTTACAGTAGGTTAGAAATCTGGGCGCAGCAGAGCTGGGTTCTCTTCCCTCAGGTCCTAAAGACCTAAAGCAACCACAAGTTGCTTGCTAAGTGGCATTTCCGTATACCCTCTCCCACTTTGAATCTCTGGCAGGAATGGCTCAAGCCTTTTTAAGGGCTCACCTGTTTAGGTCAGGCCCACCCTGGTAATATTCCTTTTGAATGACTCAACATCAACTGAATAATATTACTGGAGTGATATTCTGTCATATTCACAGCTTCTGCCTCCCCGTAAGGGAGGGAATTCTGCCAGGTGTGTACACCAGGGGGCGTCTTAGAGTTCTGCCTACCACGATGAATTATTCATGAGATTCAGGAGTTATAATTATGCTGTTGGGTAAAGACCCTGTCAGCATGGTTTGAACATTAACCTAACTAAATCCCATTTGGCCAGACCATTGGCATTAATACATTAATGATGAAGCACAAGAAAATTCCCCTTTTGTTTCCCCTGAAGGGGAAAATGAATTGGTTCTCATAAAGGACTATGTACAAAAGGCAAGAGGTAGAAGGTTTTGATTTTTTTCCTTGATGTCATGAGATACCTAGGGCTTCTTTCACTTGATTCTGCCCCATTCTATACTCAAAATTAAAGTCCTAATTTTACAAGGGAAATGTCTGTGTTTTTAAAATATTTAGAAATTTCTGTGTATCTTATGTCACTTCCCCTGTCTTCCTAGCAATTTAAGACTGTCTCGAATAGGAACATAATAGCCTTGTCAAAAAGGAGAAAATATTTGCTAACTTCCCCTTCCTCAGGAAACACACAATAATAACCAAACATGTTTGGCCATATTGTTCTGATTACACCATATTCTTTCAGTTGTTTTTCTGGTAGTGGTGATGGTTTTCCCTGAGGCGGCTGCACTCTTATGACCAGTAATATTTTTTAGAATAGCCCTTAGGTCCTGAGTTAGTATTCAGTGTTGAAACAGAGGTAGGTTAAGTGGCTTTTATAGTTATAAAATATCTGGCTTTGGCCTGAATGCTAACATGTTATTATTAACTAAACTAACATGCCAGATTCAGAAATAATTAGGGAAATTATACTTGTGTGCTCTCATAATGACTAACCAGCCCATTGGAAAGAAAAAAAAGCATCCCATATTAGTGAAAGGATGAAGTTTGGAAATGTCATGAAAAAAAATGTAGTAAAACATTAAAATCTGTATGAAGGACAGTAAAGAGACTAGTAGGAGTGAGTAACTTGGGAAGAGAATAGTTGTAGATGAGGCAGGAAGAGTGATATGGGCCCTAACCCCGGGGACAATGGCCACAGGACAGAATGGAAGGAGTGGAGGGGGAAGAAAGTGGATGTCTGCAGGACCCAGCTCAGCTAAGCTCAGCTTTGCGCCTTTATTTTAGAGGCTGGCCCTCTCCCTACTCCCTACCCTCTCCCTACTCTCCCTACTCCATTTCTAGTTCCTAGCTGCTCTGTTCTTACAGGATCATGGTCCTGACCCAAGACAATAATTGGTTTGTTTGGGGAAGAAATCCGAACAAGCCCCCACCAATGAGTTCCTTCCTAGCATTTTTAAACTGGACAAAGAGGGCCATTCTCTTGGATAAAACTGAACTATGTAAAATGTATAAGAGGTTAGAAGCCACATTTCCAAACCATGAGGGGAAGGCAATGTTCAGTAAGAGATGAAGCTGATATTGAAAGGAGCAAAAATAGAATTGGATGGAAAGAATCTGGATGATACTAATCCCCACATTCATCTGTTCCTGTGGCCAGCTTCACTGTCAGGGCAGTGGCAGTAGCCTTTCCGTTCCTATCCTTGGGTTCTGTGAGATCGCCTCGTATTCTTAGTATGAGTTCTCCCGTAGGTAATTGTATTTTTATTTTTATCCATCTAGATCATGCACACAGACTACCCTGTAATATACTGTTTTACGTTTTTATTCTGCTTCTTAAAGTCCTTGTGCAAATTCCTTCACATCAGCCCATCTCCTGCCCTGTATCCCTCTTGCACGGGAAATTTCCCCTTGCCCTTTATACTTTGTTTCTGTGCCTTTCTTCACCCTCATTCTTTTGACTGAAATGCTCTGCTTGTCTCTCTTTGGAGAAATAACTGTTCTGTTTTTAAGATCTAATGCAAACTTGTTCTTCCTTCCTAAACTCTTCCCTGATACTACCTTCTTCTGAAAATTAACCTTACAGCCCTCACTTGCTTCTTTTTAAATTTCTTTCACTGATGGTGGTGCCTAACTCTGTCACTAGATTACGAGCTTCTGAAGATTAGGAATCCCAGTCCTTCAACTTTGGTCTTTGTGTCTCTAGCACTCTGATTAATCCAATCAAACTCTAAATGTGATGTGATTATCAGTTAAGAGCGATAATCCTTTTAACATAATTTCCAAATGATGAAATCACCTTGGCAATACCATGATAATTTGAACTCTGGGCCTGCTGATTTTATAAACAATTCCCCATATTATGCTCAAAATGATATAAATTTTAATTTCAAAACTTCATCATAGGGCTTTTGCATTACTTTTAAATTTTGATTGGTTTTAATATATGCTGGTGTTTTGTGGAATACAAAGATACTAAGGCATTTTTTTCTGCTCCAGTTTAACTTAAAAGATGAACATATTTACTTAACCTAAAATTCAACGTTAAGGGGGCACCTGGGTGGCTCAGTCGGTTAAGCCTCTGCCTTTGACTCAGGTCATGGTCTTGGTTGGGGTCCTGGGATCCAGCCCCAAGTCAGGCTTCTTGCTCAGTCTGCTTCTCCCTCTGCTGCTCCCCCTGCTTGTTCTCTCTCTCTGTCAAATGAATAAATAAAATCTTTAAAAAAAATTCAACTTTAAGATCATTCAAGAAAGACCAAACCCAAGTTTAGTTCACGCCAGGACACCTGGGTGGCACAGTCAGTTGGGCTCCTGGCTCTTGGTTTCGGCTTGGGTCATGATCTTAGGGTCCTGGGATCGAGCCCAGCACAGAGTCTGCTCGAGACTTTTTGTCCCTCTCGGTGTGCCCCTCCTCCCTGCTCTCTCTTTCTCTCTCTCTAAGGTAAATAAAATCTCAATCATGCTGACATCAAAACTTTAAAAATGTTCTGTGTTCCAGATGTTGACATAGAAATATTTCCATTAGGCCAATGTCTAGATTTTGAACATTTCTAAAATATGAGACTGTGCTAATTCACTGTGCCCAACAACTCTATTACACAGAACTCCTATAACACAGGAAGAAAACACAGGTACTAAAAGTTATTTTAGTGACTTATAGAGAAGAACTGTAGGGAAGACTACAGGGAAGTCTAACAACACTTTTCACCCAAAGGACTTATTTTGGGGTAACCATAAGAGCATTTATTTTTCTGAACTTTTTATTTGGAAATTTTCAAGTATATATTGAGACTGGTGCAGTATACACCCTCTACCTAGATGCCGCAGTTGTTAACATTTGCCTTCTCTTCCTTTTCTGCCGCCTTCGGTGTTGATGAACCATTTGAAAGCAAGTTGCAGACCTCAAAACGCTTGTCCCGTAAATATTTTGGCATAAATCTTTTTTTTTTTTTTTTTTTGGTCACACAGAGCTTCTAGATTTTAAAACCGCCATATTTCCAATTTAAGAAGACCCAGAACTAGCATAAGCCCCTTTTGGATGAAATAAAATCTAAATTTGAAGGTTGGCGTGAGAAGTGTGAGCGCAGGAATGGCCCTGGGGACGTCCAGAGGATTTGGCAAGCAGAGATTGGCAGGGAGTGGCAGGTGTGCGGGTTCAAGTGGCAGCAAGCTGCCTGGGGTGTGAAGATTGAGGCATTTCAGTCTTTTTTACCCTGGGGAAATAATGTGTTACGAATGACAAGGGTGGAATTTTCAGGACTAGAGTAAAAAAGCCTTATCTTTTCTCGGGAACAAAAGAAGGGATTCAGCAAACATATCCTCCCAAAGATGGTTTGAGATCCTAGAACCCTGTTGTCAGGAACATCAAGCAAAGGAATTTAAAAAGAGATTCAGATCTCCTTTGTGTTGTTGTCTCCAGAGTTGTTGGAAAGATCCAACTCCCAGAAGCTTGATTTTTAAACAAAATGCTAATGTAAACAATTAAAAGAAAGAGTAGAATTCCATTTACTCTTTTGGATTCACTTTTTATAAGAAGCCAATATAACCGGGGATCCTCCCAAGTTAGCAGATTGTTCATTATATTAGAGAACCACCTTAGTAATCCATTGTTGGTATTAAATAGTGACTCTAAAGAAGCAAAGTAAATACACATTTAATTCTTTGCTTTGTTTCTCCTTTATTTCTAGTAATCAGGTTTTTATAATAACTCTTTTACCAGGAATTTTTATGTGGGGAGAAATGTCTGGATCAGCTAATTCAGAGACTGCTTCATTCAGCAGATGAAGAAGCCATTACTGAATTTTTGGATGAAAACCTTAAATCAGCAAAATAAATGCAGATTTATTATTATTATATAAATGAAATGGACCTATCTTAAGAAGCAAGCTGTTCATAAAGTACAGCTAAAATGACACAGTATGTACAAATATATTTTTTAATGAATAAGTCACATTTCTTGACCTGAGCTTATAAAGTACAATCCAACTCTTCAAGCAGAAAACAAGCATGCGTTGAAGAGAAATAAAGTATTGAGAATTGACTATGTGATACAAGTTTATAAACTGTAAACCCATTTCAAGAAAAAGTATTGTTAATCATGTTAAAATTAGGTTTTAAACTGCTACTTTTAAATAAAAAATAAATAAAGATTGTGAAGACTAGGAGTCAATAACAGTGAGCATGTCCAGGATACAGGTTGTAGAGCTCTTTGAGAGTGGAACAAATTCTATACAGTATAAACTACAAGCCAGTATTTAAAGTGAACTGTCTGCTTGGCTTTTATTTCTCATTTTTCTTTGGCCTAATATGAGCATCAACAGATGAGGTGTAACATGAGTAATTCTTTATGCCTGGTTTTGTGCAGTGATATACATAGGACCCAGTCCTTACCTTACAGAGCTTCCAGTTGAATGACAGAGCCAAAATAGAAACCACGAACTGTAATACCATGTGACGTGGTGTATTTAGTACTTGTTCTCAGGAAGTTTCTTAAGTAAAAAAGAAAGGGGTTATTATTTTAGACATTCCTCAGAAGGAAATTATGTGCCCAGGAAAGACTAGCTAAAATAGAGTTTTAAGACCAATGGAATTAGGAGGTAAACAGAGAAGTGAAATTATTTTTCCCCAGTTTTTTATTTTGAAAATCTTCAAGCACACAGAAAAAGTTTTTAAAATAATTTTTAAGAAATAGTGCGGTGAACTACTAGGTATTTACCCAAAGGATACAAAAATACAGATTCAAAAGGGTACATGCACCCCAGTGTTTATAGCAACATTATCAACAATAGCCGAACTATGGAAAGAGATCAAAGAATAGAGAAAGAAAATGTGGTAATATATATAATGGAATATTACTCAGCCATCAAAAAATGAAATCCTGCCATTTGCAAAGATGTGGATGGAGATAGAGTATTATGCTAAGCAAAATAAATCAATCAGAGAAAGACAAATACCATATGATCTCACTCATATGTGAAATTTAAGAAACAAAACAGATGAACATACGGGGGTGGGAAGAGAGAGGGAAACAAACCATAAGAGACTCTTAATGATAGAGAACATTCTTAGGGTTGATGGAGGGAGGGGAAGGTGGGTGAGTGATGGGTTAGATGGGCTATGGGCATTAAGGAGGGCATTTGTTATGATAAGCACTGGGTGTTATATGTAAGTGATGAATCACTGAATTCTACTCCTGAAACCAATATCTCACTGTATGTTAACTAACTAGAATTTAAATAAAAATTTGAAAAGAAAAAAAAATGAAATAGAGCCAAACCAAAAAAAAAAAAGGAAAGAAATAGTGCAAATGAACAGTATATATTACCCTTTTGCTACGGTTGTCTTTTGCTCTCTCCATACACATGCACATATATGTGGTGGTTATTGGACCATTTAAGTCAGTTGCAGATGTTGTAACTCCACACCAAAATATCTCAGCGTGTCCTAAGAATAGGGACATTCTCCTACAAATCAAAACTCCATTATTACAAATAATTGTAAAATAATAATTATATAATATGATCTAATATCTATCACATATTAAAATTTCTTCAGTTACCCCTAAAATGTCTTTTTAGCTGTTTTTGTTTGTTAGTTTTGTGCAATCCAGGATCCAACCAAGATTCATGTACTGTATTTGGTTGTATGTCTTTAGTGTTTGGATTAATCCCCCAGCCTTTTTTTCCACATAACGTTGACCTTTTGAAGAGGTTTTTTATAGAATGACCTACATCCACATTTGTCTGGCTGCTTCCTCAAGGTATTGGTAACTTTTATTCATCTGTTCAATGTACTATAAAGTAATATTAAATCTAAAAATTAATTAAATTCAGTTAACACATTTGGCAAGACTACTTCCTAGGTAATGTGAAATTCATAGTGTATTGTATCAGGAAGTTCCACTATTAGTGATGCTGAGTTTGGAAACTGTCAGATTGCTCCATTATAATGGTACATGTTCTTTGTAATAATTAGTGTGTAATCTATGGGGTACTACTTTGGCATTAGATGAACATTTGATTCCTCGTTAGTGCTAGACAGCTTCTCAGATGACCCCAGTGATCTCATCCCTGGCATTCATGTGCCTGTGTAATCTCCTCCCCTTGAACAGGAGCTGGATTTCTTGACTATCTTCTAACAAATAGAATGTGATAGGAGGGGTAGGGTTGTCACTTCCAATATTAGGTTATAAAAAGACCTGACTCTGGCTCTGCCTCTCTTTCTGGCCACTTACACTGTTGCTGCGTGGACTGGGGAAGCTCTTGGTCTTGTCACAAGAAAGAATTCAAGGGCAGACCAGACACAATGGTTGAGCAGTGCAAGTAGGAAAGTTTATTAAAGTGAGTACAATCTCAAGATGTGAGAGCAGGTGAGCTCAAAGGAAGCTGGTGGAGTATTTATTACCTGAGGAGGGGATTCTGGGGGGAGCAGGTTTTCATGCCTTTTCTCCATTACTCGGTCAGGGTTTCTGGCCTTTGTCTTGGGGCCCGTCTGGTTTGATCCAGCTTCTTGTGGCTTTATTTTTGGAATGCTGCCTGGTTTCTAATTCTCCCCCCATCCCTGGGACATAGCCTTGACTCCCACTCTGCTGGCCTGCAGGCATCCTGTTAAAACCTAACTTCCTACTCTAACAACACTGTTGGAAGCAAGATGATGTGAGCAGCTCTGTGGAATAGCCCACATTGTGTGACAAAACTGGGACCCTTGTCCTGACAGCTCTCCAGGAATTAAAGTCAGCCAACTAGCACATGTATGAGCTTGGAAACAGATCATTCAGCCCTAGTGGTGTCTTGAAATGACAGTGGTTCTGGACAACAGCTTAACTTTAATTTCACAAGAGAGCCCTTGAGGGTGCCTGGGTGGCTCAGTCGTTAAAGCGTCTGCCTTCGGCTCAGGTCATGATCCCAGGGTCCTGGGATTGAGCCCCGCATCGGGCTCCCTGCTCCGTGGGAAGGCTGCTTCTCCCTCTCCCACTCCCCCTGCTTGTGTTCCCTCTCTCGCTGTCTCTCTCTCTGTCAAATAAATAAATAAAATCTTTAAAAAAAAAAAAAAGAGAGAGAGCCCTTGAGCCAGAGGCACACCACTAAGCTGCTCTAGGACCTGACTCTAAGAAATTGAGTAAATTAATGGTTTTTGCTGCAAATTTGGGGGTAATTTGTTATACCAAATTGTATGTAATGAATATACCTAGTGGCCTTTCATCTCATTGATTTTAACGTCAGTTAATGATTCCTGCTTTGCCCTGTTCCACTGGAGTTAAAAAATGGTGATGTTCTTATTCTTTCTACGTTAATAGCTGGCATTCTTTAAAGAAAGCTTTCCTTTGTTTTTCCTCTCACTTTCTCTAAGTTGAGAGATAATTTAATCCTATTTGGATCAATATCATTATTATTTCCCCAGGGGTAAACATTGCCCTCTAAAATAATTGATGTCTCTGGAGAATCTGATTTAATTTGAAATAACATTCAATTAAATAGGGAGTTTCAGGGTAAACATTAGAAACTGATTTTTATTGTCGGGTAGTTTACATAACAGAAACATCCTGGGGCGACTGGCTGGCACAGTCAGAAGAACATGAGACTCTTGATCTAGGGGTCATGAGTTTGAGCCCCACATTGGGCATAGAGATTACTTAAAAAAAAATAAACTTAAAAACATTTTTTTAAAAGAAACATTTATCCAAGGAAATGTAAATTAAAATACTGCATGAATCAAGGCAAAATGAAGATAGTCTAATTTGCTATACGAGTCAAATGTGAGATCACATGTCATTTAAAAAATTTTTTTCAGAAAAAAAATCACTAAATACATAAACCTCAAAATATGATGTCTGCAAAAAATTCATTAAGAAAGTGAAAAATTAAGAGGGAAAGCGAGAGAAAGGGGCATTGATGTGTTCCATTTATTCATTAACATTCAATACATAGCAAGGAAGGGCAGGCTCTAAGACTGAACGAGGACAAAAGGAAAAGTGCTTCTTCATCCAAAGAGAGGCTCCGCCTTCCCGGAAGGAAGTCCAGAGCTTCCTACCACCACCAAGGTCTTTGCCCTTCCGTCGTTTTCCGGCTCTGGCTTTCCCTTAAAGCACACACTTTATTTGGAGGAAAAAAAATCAAAAGTTGGAACTATGAACCTATAAAAATTTTGGGTGGTGTTTTTTCTCAAACCTCTGTATATGTACAAATCACTTGGGGATCTCACCATAATGCAGATTTTAATTCAGAAGGTCTGAGGCCTGTTTGGCATTTCCACAATTCATTTCATTTCCACAAGCTCCCAGGTAAAGATGGATACTTCTGACTCACAAACAGCACTTGGAGTAGCAAAGATACAGGATACCTATTATTCAATGAGTACTTTCAGTTGTTATACATATTATTTTTGTATAATGAGTTTCAGTTAAACTTGAAATCCTACTTCATTCACATAGATGAATTTATGTCCCAAACTATGAAGATAAAGTTGACATCTTTTAACTGTTAGTAGAAAAATGTTAGGAATCGGGGCGCCTGGGTGGTTCAGTCATTTTGGGCTCAGGTCATGATCCCAGGGTCCTGGGATCAAGCCCCGCATCGCTTCTCCCTCTCCCACTCCCCCTGCTTGTGTTCCCTCTCTCACTATATCTCTCTCTGTCAAATAAATAAAATCTAAAAAAAAAAAAAGAAAAATGTTAGGAATCAATCTATAAGCCAATGATAAATCAGGGTTCTTATAAAAAATTTGAAAAGCCAAAGTTTATTGCCTCATATGCACAGCACCTTTAGAATATCAAAGAATAACAAACTTTATTTAGAAAATAAACGAGATATTTTTAATTAACTTTAAAATTTAGTAAGGGAATCTAAGATCAACAAACTACTACAGTCAAAAAACTAAAAGAAACTATCTTTAAAAGCATCTTATTACTCTGCAAACTCAACACCCAAAGAACAAATAATCCAATCAAGAAATGGGCAGAAGACATGAACAGACATTTTTCCAAAGAAGTCATGCAAATGGCCAACAGACACATGAAAAAGTGCTCAACATCACTTGGCATCAGGGAAATCCAAATCAAAACCTCAATGAGATACCACCTCACACCAGTCAGAATGGCTAAAATTAACAAGTCAGGAAACAACAGATGTTGGCAAGGATGCAGAGAAAGGGGAACCCTCCTATACTGCTGGTGGGAATGCAAGCTGGTGCAGCCACTCTGGAAAACAGTATGGAGGTTCCTCAAAAAGTTGAAAATAGAGCTACTCTATAACC